ATCATTGACGGCGGCGGATCACGAATTTCGGCGGCCTGTATTTGCTCGGGTGTCAGGTCGGTTGGCTCGCCCGTGTGCAGACGTATGTGCTGTTGCAGGACAAGCGCGTTTGAGTACTTCTTGTGGCAAACCGGACACTGATGAAAGTTACGCATGGGCGGTCGAATCTTGTGCACAGCCATGTGAGTTTTCAGATTGCCCTTGGTCGTGAAGGCTCGGCCACAAATTCGACACTTAAAAGGTCGCTCGCCCGTGTGGGTACGGTAGTGCATTTGGAGAGCGCTCTTGCAGGAGAGGACGCGATCGCAGACAACGCACTGATTGGGATCGCTGATCTTCTTGTTCTTCATAAGCTCTTTGAGCTTCATTGTCTCCGAGGTGTTCGACACCTCAATAAAATTCTCCCACGAGTTGTCATTGCTATGGGGACGCGGCAGCAAGGCGGCCATCTCATGTTTGATTGGATTGAAAAAGGGTGAACGCGGAATGTGAGCATGCGCATGGCCAGCGGGCGAACGTATGGGCGAATGGTCGTCCGTCTTTGAAGCGAAATTAAGGGGGAAGCGCTCCGCAAAGAAGTCTTCTCGTTGGGGCATCGTGGGCGGGAGTTGTCCAGGAGTCGGCAAATGATCCAAATGAGTCTGCGATCCAGGTGAGCACTGCGCATGCATGATTGCTGGTGGTTGGATTGGCTGCACCACAGGCGGATAGGCGGGCATAACACTGGAGTGGGAGTGAACGTGGTGATTTTGCCGCTGCATGAGTGGCGGCGTATGAGGCACTGTTGAGGATGAGGGCGTAGGTGTACGCCGGTTAGGCGCCTCCGGCTTTTGCACTCTCTCCTGCAACTGTATCTGATCTTCATCGATGCGCTCCTCCTTAATCCGCACCTCAAGCGGCAGTGGCTCCAATTCGGCGCTTTCAGCTGTCGCTGCTTCCATCGTGTGCTCCGACTTCTCCTCTTCCATTAGCTCTGATTTAACGGGCAACCTAGCCGCTGCAATGTTGTCTTCCTCCTCGTGGGGGGAGCTGGGACCCGAGGACTTTCGCAAATCCGTGGGCATGTCCTGACCCTGATCGTGCGTGTGCTTTAGTGCCGCACCCAACCCCGGCATCTGGGGGAAGAAGGGATGCGGCAAGCCGGCGGTACTGCCTGCAGTAGCACCTAGTGACTTAAGCAGCTCCATAGGTGGGCGGTATATGCCCTGCAGTCCAGGGAACGCAGGACTCGAGGCAAAGGACATCGACGGCTGCATATGTGTTAGCGTGGATGTTGATGGCGGCGGCAGACCAGTCGCTGGGGCTGGTGACTGCGTTGGCGAACTGTCGGGAGACATTTGATCCAGCAGCGGTGGATGAAACTTGTCCATGTGCTCCGGTATAGGCGTTGCATTCATGGGCACATGCGGGAACTTTTGTGCATGCCTCTGAAAATGCACCTTAAGGTTGCCTTTAGTGGTAAATCGGCTCCCGCAGACGTTACATTTAAAGGGTCGCTCACCCGTATGGGATCGTATATGAATTTGTAGTGCAGAGTCAGAGCCAAATACCTTTCCGCAGTACCTGCAGCGGTGTTTAAAGAAGGGCTCATTACGACCCTTGCCGTCGCCGGACTTGTCACCAAAAGCGAAATCATCGGCCATGTTATTGGCCAGGATCCCTTGGGAGGCAGAATCGAGCACCTCCTGGGTGCGCTTTTGCAGCAAATCTAAGGAATTAGGCTCTGGTAAATCGTCATGATTGGTAATGATGCTAGACGACAAATCCGCACCAAAGGGCAGCGGCATATTCTCCATCTCTTTAAGCTTGTTCAGGGCATCCTGTGAGCTCTCCTGCTCACCGAATATCTTAGCACTAGCGCCGGACGACTTGGCACTGGCATCTTCTTCGCGTTTGCGCTTTAGCGACGAAGTCGAATGCGATGTGGCCGCTGGTGAGATGGATCTGGAGCGTTCGCGTAAAGGCACACCAGCATTTATGAGATGCTGACGCGCCTTGGACTCGGCCATACGTGCCTCGGCCTTTTGACGCAGCTCCATGTCTGCGATGCGCTCCTCCTCTTCGTAGGTATCCGTTTCGCCATCCTCACGTTCCTCCGGCTCAAGTTCCTCGTCGGCTTCGTCTTCGTTTTGCTTAGCCTGGTTAAGAGCCAGCTGCGATTGTAATTGCTGAATAAGCTGAATCTGGAAAAGCTGCTGCTGTTGTAAATTGAAGAGCGTCTGCTGCAAGAAGGCCAGCTGCTTCATGGCTGCCTCATTGTCCGTTCCAGATGCGCCATTCGCAATTGTCTTTGCCGCAAACTGTGCAATGGCCATCTGCATGTTTTGTATGGCTTCCAGAGTGACAGGTGTGGCGCCAAATTGCTGTGCTGCTGCGCCAGCAATCACTGCATCGGTGACTGGTGGCGTAGTCGAGTTCTTGCCACGCGGCGTGCCCTCATCCTGCATTTCAACATCCACGTCCAACTCCTTTTTAGGGGATATAGCCTGGGAAGTCGCCTCCTCCATTGACGAAGTCGCGGCTGTGGGTGAATTCGGCATAGAAGCGTTTAAATTCGCGTTCTGCTCGACCTCGTGTTCGACTGGTGCTTTTGTCATGACCAATTTGTTGTTGTTGTTGTTATTATGATTGTGATCCGCGATTGTTTCATCGGCATTATTCTCTATTTGCTGCACTTTCTCAATCTCTGATTCGGACTGGGCACTCTCTTCTAGTACCAACTCCTTTTCTGACACTTGTACTGGCTCCCTTTCGTCCTCGCTGTGCTGCTGTGGACTGCGGCTGGGACACGGACTGGCGCTAGCCGTCGCGGTTGTCAGAGGCGAGCAGGCGCCATTATCTTCCTGATCACTTGCTATGTCTGCCAAAAAAAAGAAAACAAAATTAAAAACCTAGAAACTGAAATCAGTTTGTAAAACACAGAGATTTACTTAATGTCATTAAACACTTAAAAAATGTTGACAACTTAAAGCGAAATCCTATTAAGAAATTGCAATGCAAAATCTTAGCTTCATATTTACAAATACATACGCTGTCCAGGGCAGGCGGTAGGAGGTACTTGAACTATAGCAAAAGCGTCCAGTTCGTGGCGTATGTGCTAATATGTTTGTTTTTTTATTTATTTTTTTTTATTTTATATTCCTATTGAATTGATTGTTATGTCAATTCAAGTAATATGTCCCTTTCGATTTATATTCAATTTATAAACCAAATTTCGAAGACGCTTGCTCCAATGTGCACACTTGACAATGACAACAACAATAACTTGTTGTGTCTGACTGTGGAACCACCAAAATAGAGAACGCACTGTCTGGAGCAAGCTGCTGCTGCCTGGCCTGGTACCGGGTACCGGTACGACTCCCGCACCCCCTTTTTCGCTTGCCCATAGCGGCTGCCGCTGCTGACCAGTGCCTTGCCGCATATATGACTTAATCGCTGGCAATTGTTCATTGCAATGCGGCTATGTTGCTGCCGTAGTGGAAGTTGCTGCTACTGTGTTATGCTGCTGTCGAAGCAGGTAATGCAATTGCATTTCTTGTGGCAGCCTTAACCAGTTAGCCCACTCCCCCTTTGTCAAAGCACTGTTTGTTCGAAACCCAATTAGCAATTGTTGATTAGCTGATTCTCACCTGCTGCCCGCGATTTTTTCATCAATAACGACAAAAAACTAAAACAGCTGACATTTGTTGGACCGACGGAACATGTCCACAAAATGTCCACAAACTTAACGAAAGGCAGGTAAACAAATGTTTCTTATATTGGATATAAAAAGTGACCAAATTGGTTCGCATGCGCAGAGCCCATAAAGCATAATTTATGATAAGCAGGGCCAACAAACGAGATAAATCTCCATCCGTAGCCCACTTGCCTTGCCTGATCAGCTAAGATACACTCGCCAGTATAATAAAGCATATTTCTGCACAAATCAAAACGAGTCAAGCGAGTTTTATACATAAAGTATACAAATGCAGAGCCGCGGATAGAGCGTCAGACAACAGGCTGTTGATACTTTAAGCAGCTACGTTTTGGCTGGCTATCGGAGCCATTTGCATATCGATCGCATTAATATAATAATTATTTTTAAAACGAATATTACGACGAAACCTCAACGTTGTTCCTCATTTGGAAATTTGTGTTTGTATTTGTACTTTGATTTCTTTGTATTTGTTTGTATTTGATTTGCCGCCTGCCAAATGCAACGTGCAAATTTCGATATTCGATTGTCGACTCTTGTTAACTTGCTGAATAAGATTTTTAATTTTTAGCGGGTTCAACGAAAATTCTGAACGAAATTATAATAATTATAACTGATAAGTGAATGTTATTTTAATTAATTAAAATTAAGTATAATGGGCGCCATAAAATTTGAGTCGGTCGCTTTGTTGGCATGACAACCGGCTATAAAAAGTAACAGCAATTCGAATTATGATGCCCATAAAATTGTCAAGCAATCGAACATTGCTAAGTCATTTTGCGATTGGTAATAAATTTGCTAAATTTACAATAAGAATAAACACATCTTGTTTATTGTCTTGGTCAAAACAACAAATCACAAACTGAGAGCGACTCCGCAGATCCTATTATCATTCAGTTCTTGCTTTAGTCAAATGCATCCTTTGGGCAAATGCATTCTTTGGTTTCTATTCAAATTGTTCTGTTTTGTTTTTCTTTTATATTGCTTCTATATTTATGTTTGTGTATATTTATTTTTGGATGTGTATATTTTTATTTTATCTATACATGAGCGCCCAGACAGATCTGAAAGGCCTTCACATATGTGTGCTTATAACCTTTGACTGTAAATCGCTTTTGAATTATATTTAAAATACCCAAAATATTGTTCTGAAAAGCAGAAAACATTATTTATCCTATTCTTGTTAGGAAGCAAAAGAAGTGCGGACGAAGTCAACTTAAATTGCATGATATAAATTGAATTGAGTTTTGTAAGCTCCAAGGCTCCAAGTTGGTATAAGTCAGTAATCTGATATAATACAATTGGGGCAAACATTTAAATAAGTTTCTATCAAACCAGTCCCTATGACATTATTTGAAGAATTTAGGATTATCTCAAACATGAACATCACATAAATTATGTCTCCAATAATTTATAATTCTGAATATTTAATTCACATCAAAAATGAAGTTACATCAAAAAAGTCTAGCCATGGGTTGATTCTGTGTCGAATATTTTGGCTATTAAATTTTTTTTTTTTAGCTTTTATTAAGATGGTAAGCTTTCAGCAAAAAATTCTTAGCGCACTGAATACATCAATGTAGTTATTAAATCACACATTAGTAATGTCAGCTAGAAGTAAAAAATCATGCTAAGCCTAAGATTAAAGAACAACTTTTGCAAAAAGAGCCGTCGATATATGCACTATTAAACAAAATGACGTGTAGTACATATCAAAAAATGACGTTCAACTCGAGTAAGTTATTTTTTGTTATTATTTTCAGTTCCTGTTACGCCTTATTTTTAGAATTTTTTGGTTCATACATGTGACTCTGGACACCTATTGATGGCGGGCAACGAGCGTTTCAATTATCCCATCATCATATTCAGTATGCAAATCAGCCGGGAATAGTTGGGGGTCTAACAACGAGCCAACAAGTCAATGCTTTTCCATTTTTGTCAAGGCAAAAAATGTTGTGCAGCGAAGTAGGAAATGCAAAACAACTAGAATAACAACACAACAGGGGAGAAACAGAACGGACATGTCGCATAATTTAATAATATCCAAGTCCATTGTCGATTCCGATTTCGATATAGATTTCACGGTATTCGCATTAATTGACACTCGGGGCAAATTGAATTTCATGTATATGAATTTCAAGCATACATAAGTAAAGTAAATGAAAAAGAAAGAAAAACAAAAACGAGACACAAAGTATCAGGGCAGAAATTAATGCAACAAAATTTGCCTACGGAACCTAAAGCTACGCAAATTGAAAATATAAGAAGCTACACAGACGAACACAAAAAGTCGCATAAATAAAAATAATTAAATAATTAATGTCATTAAGTTTTGCACATTGACTTCTACGTTCGTGCTAACAAAACAACAACAAATATCGACGAAATTCATATACACAGCTAGTACATATGCATGTATGTATATATGTGTGTATGTACTTAATCCATATAAACCATATGGAAATTAGCTCAAATGTTAATCTCTTTTCTGATTTCTTAAAATGTATTTTTCTGCTTCCAATTTTTTCGATATTTCTCTAATTTATGATCCCACCACTAATGAGTGTACATTTATTAATGCCCAGTAGCAACAACAACAAACAGCACAACTTTCGGAAATGCTTCAGCTTTTATTAGGTATACCTACGTAAACTAAATACGGGAGAAATAATTGATAACTCTCAAAAGATACAAATTTACCTTGCCGCTTTTTTAAAGCTAATAGGCAACAATTTGCAAATATGAAAATTAGGATTTATGTTTATCGAAAAGCAAAGTTGACTAAACGTTTTAGAACGTCCTCGCTTATAAAAAAAAAACCTAATTGTTTCTTAATGTAATACATTAAAAATATATACAATGAGTAAAAATAAAAATATATAAAACAAATCAGCTTAACCTTATCCAAATACTAAATAAATAATTCCAATAATTTATTAGCTAGCTTTTCTATCAATATCTCATTTAAATTATCATAATGTTATATTATATAACATAGAGTAGAAAGTCGACATACTAGTATCACAAAAAAGAATTTACGTCTGAGTTTGAAATGAACAACAATTAACTGAGCCAGTTTCTGATAATTAACAAATTTGTCATTTTTGCCCAACCAAAGAGACAAAAGAAAATTATGTTATATAATAATAGCTGTAATTTAGATTTGGGCCTCTTAAAACCAGATTTTCTTATAGCGAGGGTCGCGAGTAATAATGTAAAAAAAAGTGCAGGAGGTTTAAAATTAATAAATATGTGTTTCGATATATGTAATTTATGCGGCAGTCTGCATCAGTTTTCTTATGAATTATATATAACATTTTGTGGCTACAGATTTTAATTTGTATTTCCAGTTTTTGGAGCCGATAAAAGTTTTAAGTGCCTGAAAGCCTTCTTTTGTCAGCATATTTTTCGCTTTGCCTCCGTCACTTTTCCCTCACATACACTCTCTCTCTCTCTCTCTCTCTCTCCCTTTCTCTCTCCCTCCTCTCTCGCTCTTTCTCTAACTCTTTCTCTTTCTCTCGCTCTCTCCTCTCTTCGTCTCTATCTTTAATTTTCCTCCTTTCCCCGTATTTTATTTGTTTTGTATTGTATTTATCATGATTATTCAAGAATACACCTTTACTACCTCTGCTCATTTTTTATGACAAATCAAGTATCGATTTAAATACGACGATTTGGAGTCGCTCCTCGCTATGATTTAGGTGTACACATGTATAAATGCACATATTTATTTATACCCATGTACGTCATAAAGCTCGAAAATGATTTGAGAGCAATTTGGGGGCCTTTTAAAATCATAGTGCGTTGCTTTAATTGTTTTGAAAGCTTCGCCATTTACATACGCCACAAATGAATCCAATCGAAACGCATTCAAACAGTTCGCCTTGACTATATCTTGGACACAAATTAATATCTCACTAATGTATTATATGATACTTATTATATGTTTTTTTTTATGATTTAACGAATATTTTTGTTTACGTCCAATAATTAATTTTAAAACCCATGTGTTATATTTATAGCTTGTTAGATTATGTGATTGTAGCTCATTCAAATCCAATAATTCAATTGATGAATTGACTAATATTATTGATCCTATAAAAAACATAACTTCCATATAAATATAAAACCCAAACTGTCCATAAAACAGCAATGTGTGATTTAAGTTTGCTTGAAAAGGAATGCAACACCCGAAATTTGGAAAAGCAAAGAACAAACATAGAATTGAACACCAAGTTATTGGCGTAGGGTATCATATTTAGCTACGATATTAAATATCAAACACAGCTTTAATTATATTGCCTCAGCTTATCTACTTGAAATTCGCAAAATTTTGAGCTTTCATTCTAGACAACACACTCACGCCAGCTTTGGGAAACTTACCTTTCTCTGCGCTTCTGGCGCGATCCTTCAGCTGTTTGACAATGCCATATTTAACGGTACCAAACTGTATCATTTTATTTATGGTCTCCTGGTGATTATCCTTGAAGTCACTACGCATTGCACACAAAACGATTAGCAAGTGATTTTTATCAAGAATGAAGAATTTTCGTTTTGTTCTATTCTCTGTTTTTTTTTTTGTTTTCTTCTCTTTTAGCACAGACCGAACATTATTTAGATTTATATGTGTTATTTACTAATGCTAGGGAATGAAGAAAGTCTGTGTTCGTTTTTTTTTCGGCGCCACTTGGCCAAAGAAAATTTAACAATGTCATGTGCTCAGAGCTCGACCCATGGTCCCTTTCCGTGTCGCACTGTGCAAAAAAGTTATTAGCCGTAAGCCTCGAGTCGGTAAATTGATCGTTTCAATTGTTTGCGCGAGTGTGTTTTTCCGTCGGCTTTGCAACGCTTATCGATAGCAAATAACTTTATCTTTCATTTTAAATTCAAACTCATCACATTGATCATGTATAGGTAACGACAGGGATTTTAATATATATTGTTATGGACACTGTCACCATCTGATTGGAATTTTGAAATTTTACGCGCACTCGCTAAAAATTGTGCAGAAACGGGAATAATAGTCGGTGTTAACTCAGTGGCGGAATCGCTGCTCTCTCTGCGGCACGAACGTTCAGCACGCGCGTCAAAATAACACTGACACAAAACACAAACAATATCTTTGAGATATTTTCAGGCACACATACATACATACACACAGCTACACGAACGCAGCCCGTAGTCGTCGTTTCTGCTGTTGTTGCTTCGGGCTGCGACGACGACACGACCGGTTTACTATCAATATTTTTACATGCGCTCTACCTATGTATGTTGAATGTGTTCGTGTGTGTGTGTGTGTGTGTGCAACATTTTTATTATGCTGCCACCAACAGCAACAACAACATGGGCAACTGGCTTATCCTGACATTCATTCAACCTACCCACCTTAAGCACACACACACTCACACTTATATATATATCAGACTCGCACTCGCTCACATTTCATATAATTTTTCCTACATAGACGCTCTCGCTCCCACTCGTGCACACACCCTCTCCAACACACACACACAAACGTAGTTTCCCTCTCATCATAACTTTTATTAAATTTTGCTCGACAGTCAGCCTTTTGTTGTCTTACTTGCACCCATGGGAAGCTATGGCTGCTGTTACTGTTACTGTTGCCATCAACCTCTCACCTCTACTCAGCTTGTTACCCTCGCTCTCTCTCTCTCTCTCTCTCCCACTCGCGCTCACGAGCGAAGGATGCTCAGTCTCTGGTGTTTCTGCTTACCTGTTTGCTGAACGGACATTTATGAAACTTGTTCGAAAAATTATGAGGCACTCACACACACAGGCCAAAAGAGACTCGCCGCGGCTGACGCTCAAAAAAGCAGCGAAGTTTGTGTTGGTACTCGCCTTGGCTGCGCTTTCCTTGCTCCTGCTACTGCTTCCTTCCGCTTCTGGGGCTCGCTCACCTTTTGCGCCATTGTTTTTGTGCTTGTAGTAAACGTTCTCTTGCCGTTTTTACAGCTACATACATACACTCGGCTGCTCTCGGGTGCGCTGTCTGACGATCTGCCTTCTCTCTCGCACTTGCACTCTCTTGGTTAATAATTTATCATAATTCATATGCCCCGGCAACTGGTTGTGAATCCCCTGCTTATAAGTGTACGGCCCTTTTACAGCTGCCGTCTCACTTCCACGCACGCCTGCGCCTCGGCCATTTGTTGCGCGAGCTCTTTCCACCTCTCGCGCTGCGACTCTTTCTCGCGCGCAGTTATGAGCGCCGTTTCTGTTGTTGCTTTTTTAATTTCGGTTTTATAAGATTTTCGGTTCTTTGCTATTGTTCGCCCCCGACTCATTGGACCGTTCGTCCGCCTGTCTGCGTTGGGTGCTTCGCTTATTCGTCAATTTGGTTTTGTGCGTGTGCTATGTATGTTTGCATGTGTGCGTTGAGTATTATGAGCCATTCATCAAAACGTTTGGTTTCCTGTTTCTTTCTTTGTTGTTTTTTTTTATTTTGGGCAACTCCCACTTATTTTTATGCTTTGTTTTCTAAGCTTCCAATCATTATATTGGTACGTTATTGAATATTTTGTTAATGGCCATGGTTTTATGGATTTATTTAAAAAGTTCTCAAATAATTTAAACTTACTGTTACCAAATGTAAAGCTGTCAGCGCTGAGTTTTAGGCCCCTTGCAACTGTTCTACAAGATCGTTAAAAATTTGTACAATTCTCATGAATGTATTGTGACTCAATTCTGCACATCTGGCGATAGGCTTTGTGAGTTCTGTTTTGATATAAACATTAATTTCTTTGCTTTTATTTTTATTGCTTTTGTTTTTGGTAATTAAAAAATGTTAAGACTTGAAAACACTTCAAAAAGGTTTAAGTAATTATTTGAACAATTGCTGAGTAGCAACTGATTACTAACTTAAATTGGTTAATTGGGGATTAAAGAAAATGAATCAATTTTTAAATTTCATTTGAATGTCTTAAGCTGAATTGTTTGACTCACAATAGAAGGCAATGAGTATTCTATTTAAAATGCCAAGTTAGTAACTTTATGTATTTTAGTTATGGCTATGTACTATAATCGATATAGATAGAAAATATTTACATATTTTCGCTGTCTGTTGCAGTACTTTGGGCGAACCGACTATGAAACCCAAGTCAAAAGTCAAATTCGTTCATTGGGTGGATGGCTATTAATGGGCAGGAGGATTGCTTAGCCTAAGGGGGAGCTATCATAAACTTTGCCCCGAGCGATCGAGAGAAGTCGTACTCGAATGAAGACAATAAAATGAACGTACTGGAAGAAGAGAAGCAACTCGAACTTGATCCAAAAAAATATATATATATATACCATGCGAGACGAGC